GCTTGAAAAAACTTTGGATGAGACTAATGGCGATTGAAAATGAATGACTCAAATGATTGCACTCATCACCCACGTTGCTGAGATTTTCACTTCCTTGTTTACCCGCTATTTCTCGTTAGTCAATCTCATTTGGCTTTGGCAAAGCACGTACGTAAGAAAACCTCTGAAAGAGAAGTTTTTTTCCGCCAACCTCTCCAAGCACTTAAGGATTTTCCCGCGATATTTTATTAGCTCTTGAAAAGCAGTTTACTAAAGTGCACAATGTTTTCTGAAATGACTGAAGAGCATGTGGTTTCCCGTGGGAAATTCACGAAACGTCCATTCCGAAGAGAGCGACTATAGTGATTTCAGTGGAAAAAACCTATGGGACAAGTAATAGAATGCGAATTGGGAGGAAAGCCTTGCGTTACGTAGGTTTGGGAAGAAATGAGTTTTCTTTTGATGGTTCTTTCCCGCCAGAAACATTCAAAAACATCAATTTCCTTTGCCTAATTGCTGTGGATTCCAAGAATGGCTAAAAATGGAATTATGCGGATCCAATAAAATTTTCTTCCTTTCATTAACATATATCCGACGATGACGTTAGCGCTTCACGTTATTAGATCCTCCCCCGCCCCCCCCCCCCCCCCAATATCCGTGGGCGCCCGAACGTGGGCTCATCTCATCATCGGTCCCTTTGATCATTTAGGCCAAATTATGTGTCCTTTATGCCCAAATAGGGAACTCCCAGCAAAATGAGAAGAACCGTGGGTAAACATCGGGATAAGAAGCACCGTTTTGTTTGTTTTACGCGGTTAAAGTGGAATATCTAGTTGAGTCTCTCGGGCCTTATATGGAGATGAGAAAGAGGGAGAATAAATCTCTTATTGTTAGGCTTTTTCTTCCTTATATGACAAAGATGAGGACAAAAGAATAACCTGGGGATCAAATATCTTGAACTATTCCTAGATTTCACAAGGAGAAAAAAAGTTTTATTGTATTTATATTCTAACTTTCCGAAACTTTTGCAGAAAATTACAACTTATACTTTCTCATTTGCGGAAACTAACCGTACCGTACTCTTACCGTAGTCCCACAAGACAGGGGGATATGAAGACAATTTTATTCTAACAACGGAAATTTTGTTGGACTACCAGTTTTCTTTCCACACACAACGCACAATCTTGTCTTTTGAACTTCTGATTTTACCACCCACTTTGTCAAAAATTTTTATCCAAATTCTCTACATTTTTCATCAGTACCATTTCCACTTGACAAAAGCCCTTTTTGTTCTTTGAATGGCTACATTCTTGTGCAATTTTTTCTGGGAGAAAATTGCCGAATTCTTGGTCTTTCGCTTTCGGCACTTGAATTCTATGCAATTTCCTATTCTCCTGGTAACAAAGGATAGAATTTCTATGGATTCCAAGTGATCAAAAGCATAAGTGTTCGCTTCCACTCAAAATAAGCCTTAGGCAATTATGTTGTAAAGTTTTTATATCTATTCGGGCTAGATTGAAACCTTTGAAACATTTCAATGCTCTGCAATTTTTGGGAAATCGCTTTTCATTGAAGTTTTTTTCTTTTTTTATTCCACACGTTCCAAATGATTGAAAGCATAGTTTTCACCCGTCCGAAACAGTGTTGAGGAGAACTATTATAAAGCTTACTTAGATAATTCTAAGTAGACAAGAAAAAGTTTGCGAAAGTTTGACCTCTGCAAAACTTCCGAAAGCTGAGTTTTTATTCTTAATCAATGTCAGCAACTTTTCAAAAATCTTATTCTTGCAAGTCACTTATGTGATCACTGATTCGCTCGAAAATATCTTTAGAATAAGCCACTTACAAATTTCAAAACGTATAAGCTCTTCTCCGTTTTCCATTAGTGATTTTGTCTATAATCAAAAGTTCCTATTCGTGGTCTGAAAAATTTGCAAAACCCATAAAATACAAAACAATCATTTAAGAATGAATTGATATAACTCATAAATCGCCTTTTCCTTTCTTCGCTGAGAATTCTGCGCGTTGAGAGTTACAATGTGCCCTTTGAAAAAATTTGAAAACTCATAAATTTCCAGAATAACTTCTGTTTTTTCGTTGTTTTCAGTTTGAAACAACTGACGAACCCTTCCACTTCCTCTCATATGATTATTTCTAGAGTGATTAGACAGAAGAAAACAAGCAAATCCATTAATCCAAGCCAAACAACACGAAACACACGTGAGAAACAGCGTAGTATCCTAGCAGCCGACGGTCACTATATTTTTCTTCGCTAAGCATTTTGCAGCTATCTGTCTTATCAAGCGCCGGACAACTGACACCATTATGTTGTCTGGGTTCGCAATTTTACGTCGCTGGTCACATGGTTTAGCTGGAGCGATAAGTCGTAGATCACTGAATTTTCAGAAAAACCGTTTCCGTCTTTGTATATCGTCAAAAAAGGGAATATTTTAGGATTAAAATTTCCTTTCCCAATTAGGTGAGAGCAGATATGCATCTAGGTAGATCCATAAGTCATTTGGCAGGGTAACCATAATACCATACTCAAAATAATTTCTGATGAACTGAATGTAGGCGAACCATTTGCAATAAATTTGCGGATTGCACACCATGCGCGCTACCTGACGACTTGTAATATGCGAACCTGCCCATTTCCAATGATTTCTCCTTGTTCAGTCGTCTCTTTTGATTTGCTAAATGTATTAGTTAACACAACACATTTGTACATCTTGTTACGCTAGAAAAGGTTTTGCTGAAGAATTCACAGTAAAGGTGTCGTCGGTTGCCGCGCATTGTGTGCATACTCAAACATTTAGTTACAAATGACTCGACGTATCTTTACTAGTGTGTAATTGCACATTTTTAAGGTTTGGGTACGCAGACTATTTGGAAAAGAAGATGCACTATAAAGCTACACCAACAAAAAAAGGAAAAAAATCATATCTGCGTCCCAGAACCATGGTTAGCATCATCTTGAAAAAAGTGCAACTGACAAGTAGCATCATATTTTCTCCGACTATAGAACGCTAAAACTTCATACGTTCAAATGCTAGAAGCTTATTCGTTCAAATCAAATTGAACGTCCACGAAATAATCCCCATATCTCTGAATTATCTATTTTGTAAAGTTTTTTCGTACGCTAGATTTTAAGCCTGCATTTTTGGGGTCCATTGTAAAGCTGTGGTAGATGAACTTTGCCTAATTTGGCTAATCTTTCTATGTAATCAAACTTACGGACTCAAACAAAGCAAGTGTAGTATCATCATTAATGAAGTGTAATTCAACGAAATGTTGTGCAAATAATAGCGTGACTTTCCAATTAGGATTGAACTGAATTGATGGTCTACATTCTTTGGGCTGAATCGACTCAAATTTTTACACAATTGAAAAATATTGAAGAATTAGGTAATTGTTTGAACTCCAAGCCATTCCTACCAACTTGTGACTGATAGGCTCTTTGAAGCCCTATTTGCATGTCCTCACCTCTGTTAGCGGCGGCTCTACAACTAGCGGACTAAAGTGCTCACGACCCCGTACAGTACGGATACAGATCCGAGCGCACTTAACAGCTTAATGTATACACTAACATAGGGGCGCCGCGTGCTGCTCGCGCCGATAGGGCAACAGGTGGGCGGGGCGCTGGCGAGGTGGGGAATTCCTTGGTCGAGAGGGGTGGAGAGGGAAAACAGCGGCGGGCGGGCGGGGTACGAAATGTGCGGAGCCGAGCGGCGCCGGGGCGGGGCGGCGTGCCCGCCCGCCGAGGGGTGGCCTACCAGTTGGACTGAAAAGACAAGAGATGCGACCGCTCAGCCGGCACTGCTGGCAGTGGCGGTTGAGGCGTCCGGCGGCGCCAGCAGCTTGGCCCTGGCTCCTCTTATTAGCAATGAAGCCAAGTCACTATTCTGTACTAGTACTCACTATTTATTCATACATCCATTCTATTTACACTAATTCTCGGACATCGTATATCATCTCCAGCTCACATAGTCTAGACTTCACTTCAATTTACTCGCACTCATTGCACTTTTCTCTTGTTTCTCTCTCATTTCTGACCTTAACCTCTCTCTCCACGCATTTGCCCAATCTCTCCACATGTCGCATCTCTCTCACTGTTTACCTGTTGCCCTTATCCTGCTATCATCCCAACGCACTCTCCATGGAGCGCGCTATCTCACCTCTGCTGCGTCTCCTAACTTTATATGATGTTCCGTTGGGCTAACCATTGTAGCCAATACTCTCATTCTGATATGTCATATGTTACGCTGGCCCAGGCCCAATGTACGAAGTGATTTTGATCGCATTGGACGTGAATGCTCGTGGAATTCATTGTTTTTGGCATTTTCAAGGTCTTGTTGTGATCTGAGTGGCACAATTGTTTAACTTGAAACAAGTAATAGCCAGTTGTTTATACCTTTGTGTTTTGGTCCAACTTGTAAGAACTTGCTTATTCCATTCCGCTTTAATTCTTCGGAAACTGCGTAAAATTAAGAGCACAGTTTGCAAGTTTTCTGATTTTTGAACCCGCCATCGTTTTGATCTTATTGTATCTTCTTCATCCTTTGGTTTTTGATCTTGGTGGGCAAAAGTCCGCAATCTTTATTCCTGTGCGCTCTCTCTCCATATCCCTAGCACAATAAATCTACTCTTCCCAAGTTTCGAGTCGCTTTGACTGCACTTTCATCTATTTTGGCCAAATTCCATCCATTTTTAGCGCATGGGTGTGTAGCTTTACAAAATCATGGCAAAAATTCACTTTCACATGGCAGATTTGTTGTGATTTTCGGATGCCAGATTGGCCTAATACGGTAGTGCCCAATATCGCGCGCTTATCGATTCCATCTTTCGCAGCCGTAGCCCCACAGCCCCATCTTCAATGATCAACATCTACCATCCATCATCATATCGATAAACTCACTCTCATCACGCCAGTTTCTAGCTCCGCCAGACCCGCTGTGCTTCTTTTGCGCATCGTCTCGTCGCGTCGGTTGCGTTGTCCGCAAACTCACAACCAGAATGATATCTTCAATTCAAAATGTTTATTTTTCAGTGCTAAATTTACAATGATGGAAGTTTGCGTTAACAATAACCAGCCTGCTGCTGCTTTTGAATGGTCGGGATGCCAACCAGTTCAAGCTGGCAGTGCTCGTCCAAAGAGGGACTTCCGATTCCAGGTTGGTAATGGCTCCATATTGTGTGATTGCGTACCTACAAATTCTATAATTTGAAGTCTAAACACCTGAGTTTTTGGGACTTATCTATACTAATAGTTGCTAATAACCCCCATATACACCCGAGAAGAGAAAATGGGTCATTTGTCATTAGACCTTTTATGGTAAAGATCAATAGCTACATGGTAAAGAATCACATGCGATGGTGTACAGTTCTTGTTTGGGAATCTAGTGTTAGTCAATTCGTAGTCTACGTCCTTGAGATGATATCATCATTTTTACAAATGCACTTGCTAAGAGTAGATTTTGTTCAAAAAATAAACCGTGCTTTGTCACGAATATAGACTTTTACAGTATCCACGCTGTGCTTTACAATGATGAAAGGTAGCTGCTAAATTTGGCATGAAATTGGGTAACGGGATGTTGTTGTCATTTGGCCAGACACACAGCGATAGTTCCTAGCCGGATCATCCGCTAACAATGGGGCTATTGGACCAAACAACATTTGCATTGGGAATGGATGTGTGGGGGCTGGAAGAGAAGCATCGTTTATTCGTCTTGGGAATGATATTAATGCGCATTAATGGGAGATGTCTACGACCACTAAGGTCATTTTGGGGTGGAAATCATTAGTGCATTAGCAATAATGGTAGAGTTATTGGTACTAGCCCTCTCAGCAATAGCGTTGCCCTTTGATTTTTCCATTTCACCAATTAATTGTGTACCTTTAGGTGATCGAAGTCCGACAATGCCCTAAATGGTTCATTTGGCCTAGCCGCAATCGCCGAAATGTGGACGAAACCGATGAGAACCATAATAAGGTAACGTCCACTGCTCATCATCCCAACTCATCACTTTTTATTGCCCATATCATTTTCAGGAAGCCAAAACAGTTGGCATGGAAAATGACTATCAACAACCCAACTACAGTAATCAAAATCAATATGTGAGCTATTGTACGACACAAAACGGCTATGGAGCGATGCGACGTAATGTACTACGTGGCTCGAAACGTATGCAAAATGAAAAAGAAGGAGGAGGTATGTATTATTTATGATATTGTTTGCTTTTTCACTTTTTATATAGACCAGTGTTCACAAATTCGAAAGCAGCTTTGTTGAGAGTTGCTCATTCTTCAAATAATTGCCAGACACACACTGCATTTCCCGCTGTAAATTGCTTAAGTGCGTCGTGCGGCTGCAGATGCAGATCTTTTTACGAAATTGAATGCTTCGCAAATTGTCCGGCTGCTCTGGCTCTCTCTCAGTGTATCCGAAAATTGTCCTTTGAACAGTTTCACTCAATGCAGTTGTTTTGGGGATGCGAAATTCTGGGTTATTGTTGATAGGGAGAGGGATGTGAATATTTATGTAAATTGTCTTGTGCCCCATAGCAATCTTATTCCACTTTTTCTTTCAGTACCCGGCCGAACTGCCTCAGAACCCGCTCGACGATTATCGGCAAAAAACAGCAAGGCAACCACTGAGCCAATCTCGCAGGGCAGTCCTTCAAATACCTTCAAAATCCTCTCAATCGCGAAGAAATGGGAAAGTTTCGATGCGACCGACGACGAGTCCGAAGACGTTCCTGTAACCAGCTCACATATGAGCATCGTTGACAGCGAACGAAGGTGGACGAACTGTTAAAAATTGCCATGACCCAGTCATCCCTGAATTTTAATCCCCGGTGTCACATACACTGATCCCATAACATCTAGCCAGTGTCGAACCCGTCTCTTGTACATATCTTCCCCCATTCAAACTCCCTGGACAACAGATAATTGATAATGTACTACGCTTTCCGCCTTTACGGTTACTCACTGAGCCACAATCATTCATGTTGTCTGTTCTTTTCTGCTCACACGTCATAGCGCTTTATCAGCCATGTGCGTCGTGTCGCGAGCCTCGTTTATACTTCGGTCCAGTAATCTGTAACATGTAAGCCATGTCCGCAAACACACAAATTAGAAGATTATTTTGACTAAAGGCCAATTACCGAAGTGTGAACGAGGAAGTTTTGTGAGTACGCTATTTGAAATTAAGCGGGTCTGTAAATGAGGAAAAGAAATTTTCCAACAACGTCCATTGTATTACTGTGTATCAGCTAGTATTACTGGGTCTGTTCGAGGTTCTTCTTCTCATTTCTCTTTAATCATATATGGTTGTTTCTAGTAGGATAATAGTTGTGATATAATACACAACCCCAACCCCTAGTGTTAATGCTATTATTGACAAGTTGATAGGTCACACCCTCTAGCCCTGAAAAAATCGCATTATCGCTGTAAGCACACATCATTCATTCATTTTCTTCATTGATACGGAATTTTTCCTGCGTGTGAAAATTCGTTTCTGTGTTGCTTTGTATGTGTTTTGTGTGCGTATCAATCGATATTGATCAACATCACCATCAACCGATATTGTGGTTCAAAATAAGTTTAGGATGCTGTCCAATCGCTAATTTAGTAGCTCATCTTTAATTGTGTATATATTACGCAAAACAAAGCGTTTGCCTGAATATGCATCTTCTTCCGAATGAATGAAGATATTGAAAAACATACTTGTGTTGATGTGTTATTAGTGTAACAACGTACAATACATCACACTGGACGAACTTAGCACAACAACCAGTCTAGTGGATTTTCGAGATAACAAGCTAAATTATCTGCTTAGAAAAAACGCAAAAACGTTTCAAACTGGTCTTGCGTGTTGCTTGGCTGTCTTAACGTTAAAATCACTTCAATTAGATGCACTGTTTACATGTGGTTATCGAAGGCATTTGCAAATCGCAAATCATGCTTCTTCTGCAATTGCAGAAGTGTGCGTGCTGCATGCGATCATGAATTTTAACCACATAACAAGTTATACATGTAATAACACGTTCAGGATTCTAGCACATAGCTCGGAAGGGTGGTTTACATGTTCATACTGCTTTTGACAAGTTCTGACAATGATAGACGTCGGCCTTCGTATGAAGTGTCCTTGCGGACAGAATCCAGATATTGAACGCTGCTACCTTTCAAAAAAAATTCGAGGTTGAGGATGCAAAAGATTTTGATTAGATTAAGCTGAGTTTGTGCTTTTGCAACATTTTCCTCAATTCTGAGAAGGGAGATAATGTTATCTCAAGAAAGCAGCCCAGTACGTTTTTTTCCATCAGCAGCACCCGGAATTTCCGGTTCTGCAAATTGTGCAGTCAACCGTGATTATGTGCATAGCAGACGGGATTTCTTAAAAGTTTATTTTATCCAATGATCTACGTCAATTTTGCAACAGCTGAAGATATGAGGATGATTGATAAATATGTTTCGGAGTGCAGGAAATCAATTCTTCTTAGTGAGAAAAAAAAACCTCCGCAGTGTGCAGCTAATAGGTCATTTCCTGCATAAGCCATTGCTGGAGTATTCTCTCTGGCGAATTTGGAAGCTTTTCGATTCTAACGTTGAAAAACAATACTCATCCTGCCTCAAGAATGGAATTAGGTAAATTAGCGCATGAAAGAACCACATGTCAACGCTTGACAAAAGCATGTTCGAGAAAGTTGATTTTGCACTCGGCATTTCTAAGTGTGTACAGTCGAGTGATTTTCCCTCAATATAGTGTGCCTGCGTGCCGCCAAAATGGTAAGATTTGCGCGTAAACAAATCTCGCGCCAGTAATGCTGGCATTTTGCGCGCGCAGGTGGCCGGCTTCTGCGTAGCTATTTGTTTACGAGCAAGTTTGACTGCATTTTTCTGGCACCGTAAGCGCACTGTATTAAGCAAAAAAAAATGTTCTCGACTGTAAGGTTCATTTATAGAATCGCAACGACGTATTTGACTGCGGTCTTTGCGCCTACAGTAACATAACATTTCTATACAAAAAGGCATCATCTTAACGCTCAGTCATTTTCAGTGTGTAAGTACTATCATACTAAGCAGAAAAACCAGTCGAGTAGAGATTTAAACCAAGGAAATGCGGCTGCCGCAAGGTGCGTGCGTGTCGCGCGCTGTCGCGCCATCGTCACGATTTTTCGAATGTCCTATACCTAGCAGGACGACTGGATCCTTTGGCCATTATTGCAGTTGGTGACTCGTCTTGGCTTAATGCTAGCTTCCAAGATTTTTCCTTTCACACTGGTTCCTACATAGAACATGTAAGAATTGAATAAAGTCATTGACACCAGACAAGACCGTGCTCGTTCTAGAGTAACGCGAGGCAGTTACATGCGGCGCGGTTGCGTCGCTTCAGGCCCTAGGAGAAGAGTACTCCAGTGAAAAAGCTCTTTCATCTGTTAGCTTTTCACTTTCCTACTTTTTGTAGTGTATCTCCTCAATACTCAAACATATTCACCCTAACTTGAATTTAGAATTAGTTTAGGGGAAATGACTTAATTTTATTGATGGAGCACCTCTAAAGTTCCTGACTTAGTCTCCTGCTGAAAAATTTATGTGTTCACTGACTAGTTCGAAAGCTTTGAATCTTTTCTTCAATGGGAAATCCCAAAAAATTTCTCGGTGGAAGCTAGGAAGCAGTTTTCGCTTTCTTCCTGTCACTCAAATGATTCATAGCACTTGGAAAAGCCGGAAACCGCGCACATTCCTTCCGAATTGTTTTTATCGTCGTTGCTGTTCACATAATCATTGACTTTGGAGTTCTCGATAGCTGCCAGGGCACCACTGATCATTCCGTGACCGTCACGAGGCTGCTTACTCGTTCAAAGCTTCCAAAAGTTTGCCATGCGCATAGGGGCAATCTCCGGTCGGGTCATGTTTGGAATTTATTTGCATAAACTAGAAAAAAAGTGGAAAAAAAGGTTGCATGATCAAGTGCAAATAATTCGTGTGCGTGTGGTTGGTTCATTTTAGATGCAAATATAAACACAAAGTAACGAAAAATTGGGAAATAATCCGATAAAAGCGGTGTGGAGCCTAAAATTAGTTCCGCATACGATTATGGCGTTTGAAAGTGAAAAGATTATATCCAGCACAAACCATATTTTGCTAAATTAGGGGACTGTTGGGAAGATCTTTTTTTTTCAAATTTTCTTACTTGTGCACCAAGACTTAGGATTCCAAAGAATCTTAAGGTACCAAACAGAAGCTGCTGATAAGCAGATTAATTCCAAAAAAGAAAATCTGACATTGAGTTATTAACTTTTTTCTAAAAGTTGTCTGCTAACAGATTGGATTATACAGGGTGTCCCAAAAAAATGTGCCTATTGTTTGATTGTTCATAACGCTTTTGTAACAAAGTCTTTCGAAAAGATCTAATAAATACCATTTTGTAGAGCTGGCTTCAACTTAGATTCACGGTATGGAGCGGATTACCGACTGCTCTACGTTACTGTAGGACTACGGTAGAAACTTTGAAGAGGGTTTTGAGCCGTAAAAGGCCATATTTCGATAAAGGACACAAAACTATCAGAAAACTTGTGAATTTGTATAATTTTTGGTGCAAGATTAAATCCTTTTCAATCCCGATATTTTTTTTCATTGTTTATGATATACGCAGTATTTTATCGCATAGATCAACAATTTTATTGCAAACAATATCAGAAGTTGAAAAATCAAAAATAACAACTTCTCGTAGAGACGTCCTATCATCACAAATTTATTTTGTTTAAAAAGAGTATCTCATCCCAAATAAAAAATAAAACCAGTAATTTCTGGGGTTTTCAAGTTTTCAGCATTCTTGGGGATTAAAGTAAAAAAAACACTATTTGAGTGTTTGACTACAAATGTCTAAAGCAGCGATATTACAGTGATGGTCCTTGCTTTGAAAATTTTTCAAAAAAGCTCGGAAGTTTTCTGAAATCATATTATTTTGAACTGTTCCATTGAATCTGGAGCAGGTTATGGAGTTCCAAAAAAATTCCTGCAAGACTTACGTTCCCCGTAGTTGCTGCATTCCTCCCACGTCACCCCAATGGCATTTGAACTTTCCAGGAATTTCTCCCTTTGCCAAATTCCTTTGCAGAAACAAGTGCGTTCAACAAAGACGCAAACAAATGAGACAAGCCGACTAAGCGCTAACGGCTTTGTCATGAAACGCGAAAACGCACTGGTGTTCAATGCTCAATGCTGCTGACGAAACAAACAGCCAAAGTGAAAAACTCGCATGAAAAACGAGGAAATGCACACGAAACGCTGAAGACAAATTGTTTCAGCCTTCCACGCGGTGACCCTCGTCTAGCGGGAAAAGCGAAAACTTTTGGGCTGGAATTTGGGTAGAAAATAATGGGGATTTTCCTGTAATTTTATGCATAATCTGTTTTTGTAATGAGAATCGCAGAGTTGTGCATCAATTGTGCTCTTTTGCGTAGATGAAAATGTCCTAGTCAAGACAAAGTACAGGAACTTCCCGAGAAAAACGAATTTGCGGGCTTCATCAGGCATGTAAACTTCCCAAGAACACTGAAGTTTAAAGCAACGCAATTAGAAACTTGTCAATACGTGATGTGGAAATTACCTGCCGCGACATGCGGCCTGCCTTGTCACGGAATGCGCAGCGGAAGGCATACGCCGCGCATTGCACTGATGAGGTGGGCCGCATGTCGCGCCAGATCAATATGATTTCAATAAACTAGAGTTCTTGTAGTCAGGCAGATTTGCAATCCAAGCTTCAGCTTCAAATCTACTCGCAAGTGGAGCAAAACCGAGCGCGAGAGGCCAAAAGGGATTCTCTTGAAAGTTTTCGAAATATCCACTATCCATATATATTCAAAAATGTATTTACTTGACTATTTTTTAATTTATTGATTTTGTACAGGTGGCGGAAATGGAGTCATCAACAGTTTCCCGGAACTCACAGAAATATTCACATATATTCATACATATTCAAAAATGTATTTCTTTTAGATAATATTTTTGATCTATTGATTTTGTATGGTGTATAAATCCACAGAGTGGACCTGTATAGCACCCAACCCGGTTTCGACTAGTTTTGCAAATTTTTCATCGAATTTTGTTTTTCTTTGCAAATTCTGCTTCGACTGTGTTTATGCAATCGCATAGCAAATTCTTCCTCCAAAAATGCAGGAAGTGAGTAATTAACGGAATTCGCATGCTATGTGTGCGATACCTTGCATACTTTAGTTTGTTTATGAAGCATCGTCCTACGTGTTTCCCATCGCCAACACACAAACCGTGACGATGAAGCCAAGCAATGATTGAAAGCTGGAAACAACAACTCAACCCATCAAATGCTTCGGATTAATCCTTGGGCGACTCCCACCGTTGGGAAAGGGTACCTTCTTGTCTAGACAATGCATTCTATAGTGGGTAGGTTAGGTGTCTCACCGATATGAATTCTTTGGAGCAAAAATAATACAACATATGACAAGAGTTCATCATGAATTTGCGAAATCTGGGGCTTTTCCAATGATACAAAGTGCTCTTTTTGCTTAAAATAGCCGTTCGAGAAAATAATGGGATAATTAACCCTCTTGAAAGTCGCTCCCCAGGTTCGTGAGGAAC